GTATCAATGATTGATTACAAATAGTATCCCTCCTCGCATGAGAGTGCTGGCTTAATGCATTAAATACACATTTTATATAGTTCACTAAATGGTAACTGTTCTTAAAAGAGTATTCACATGTATTTTTGATGCAGCGCACATGCCACCACCGGTATACCGGCTATAAGGGACGTTACTTACTTTTTGCCACCATACCCACTTATCTGCTTTTTCCATTAGCTATTACTTATTTCAGCATTTTTAGTATTTAGTATTATTATATGTGCTTTTAGTCGCCTCACCTGATATAGCAATTAGAAAAGAATACCGGAAGTATATGTACCAGAGCTCAAAGTAAAGCAAAGCAGAAGAAATATAGAAGACTCTTTCTAGCATTGACACTGTTCCATTGCTTTCCAGTTTTTTCCTTGTTTTTCTTTCTCTGTTTTTCGTTTGCAGGTTGTGTTCGTTGGCTCATTCCCAGCTGCTGCACCAGATTTTTGATCGATAGAACCATAATCAACGGGTGAAGATAGTCAGAGGGATCGGAGTCGATTTTTAAGATTTGTTGTTTTATCCAATACAAATATGCTTATTTTGAGGGCTTTCTTATTATGGGGCCTCTTACTTGACTACTCATCTTAGATGCCACACCACTAGATGAATCATTCTTAAAGAGCATAAATTGTGCCACCATGTGAAATTAACCAATTTCTTTCTAATAAAAGCCATAGAATATGAAACCCCATAAGAATAATAAAATCAAACTCTTAAACATCAAAGTGCTTTTTGATGCGATACTTGAAATTTTATTATAAATTGCAAATCTAAGCTTATTCGTATGATAGTGCACTCCTGGGATGGGTGACCCACTAGAAAATTACACCAAGGAGATAAAATTGTAAGACTACTAAGCCAAAACAAAAAAAAATCTCAATAGTTAAGAATTTGAATTATTACAAATAGAATCAAATCATCACATTAATTAAAGATGGGAACTAAGTGTCATAAAATAATAAAGTGTTATGCCAGGGGTGCCACTTCATGAACCTATAGGGAGAAAATATTGTGAGAGCATTAGGCTAAATAAAAAAATATATCAATGGATAACAATTTTGGATTTTTATAATAGGACACCATAATTTATGTTATAAAGCACATAAAATTTTAAGTATGGTGCTTAGCTTTTATTTGGAAGCACTCTTTCTATCGATGACAACATGGCCAATTTTCTCTAATGCAATCCTGAATTCATAGTAAAAGAAGTGGAAAGCAAATGCCATGTCTAGCATGTAATTAGTTAACAATTGTTACCAATGTTCATTGAGCCCAACTTTTAATATAAATTATTTCCTAGTGGTGCTAAGGTTTATGCTATAAGACATTTGTGGTTACTAGTTAGATCGACTACTTTACATATATTGTAGATAAAAATTTTTCACTAGCAACCATTTTCAAACTGTTTGCTACTCTATACATTATTGACAATATTAAGATTCTTAGAAAAAAAAATCATGATGAAATAAGGATTAGATTATGTTCTCCAATACTATTTTTTTTCTTAAGACTGACATTCTCAATACGAGCACCAAATATGTTAATGATAGAAACTCTTTAGCCATTGTAATGATGTTTCATGGTGCTAGAATGAAATAATCTCAATTATGGGGAAGAAAGTACTTCTATTAGGGCACATGAAGTGGGAGTAAGGGAAACTCAAGAGGTAGCAAAATTAGTGAGTAATTTATGAGTGATGCATATGGGGCCTTGGAGGAGATGATGGTGAGTTGCATGGTTAAGAAGTTTGTGAATCAAAGAAGCAAGAGAAAGAAGGGAATAACACACAAGGATTAAGATGTCCAAAGTTCAATTTAATAGTCTTGTATGCTGTATAGTGACATGAAGAGGGTTGCAATAAGAAGGATATATAATATTTGTTACATAGAATGATCATTTTATTAGGCTTGTGATATCAACATTGTAAGAGGAAAAAATCCCCTATTAACGAAACAACTATCATTTCACATAAAGAATTCATCCACAGATATGTAAAATACAAATTTGCAAAATGCATCAAGATTCGTATTAATATGAGTGAATCCAAGCCGTCCGATATATTACTTACAATCACATTTATCTAACAAATATCATGGCTGAACATTCATCACCATCCTTTATATTATTGCACACCAAATTAAAATTGTGCACACAAAAGAATCTAACTGAGAATGAAAACAAATTCAACAAATTCTTTTCCAAACATTCCAAAAATGTCGCTATTGACATTGTAAAGTTTCTTCAATCAAATTCAATCAGAATTTTATCAAACACCAGAAAAAATTGTACGTTCATGAAAGGAATCTCATATGCAGAACTTGCCAAAGGGTTTGAAAATTGACATTTTTATCGTCATATTATGAAGCATATACTTCCTTTTGGGCATCAGAAAAATAATATGCCAAATAACCTCCCAAATAAAAAATCAGCACATTTTTTTTGCCCAATTATCAGGTATATTTTAGTTAATAAAACATATATGAAAATTAAATAAACACTTATAAGTAGGTATATTATGTCATATTTATTTATTTATTTCTAATGAAAGGGGAAATTTCAACATCCCATTCTCGAACCATAATTGAGATTCATTAATTTTCCTATAACAAAGCTCGACTGAATCATAAGACAATGATTCTATTGGCCTACACAATGAAACATGATGCACTTGAGTTTACTCAAAAATGCAAAAACTGCCAATTGCATTCCAATCTCACCCATAAACCCGCTTTGGAGCTTGCATTATTTCAGAGTCCTTGACCTTTCGCCCAATGGGAAATTGATATAAATGAGCCCTTCCCTATAGGCACTGGACAACCGAAATTCATTATCCTGGTTGTAGATTACTTCACCAAATAGGTGGAGGCAGAACCTTTGGCGAAGATTACAGAAGCAAATGCTAAACAGTTCTTGTGGAAGAATATAGTCTATTACTTTGGCATTCCTGCAATCATTACTAATAATTAGACAATTTACTAGGAAGATCTTTACATCTTTTTGTAAGGATTTTCATATTAAGCTCATCAACACAGCTCTCGCCCATCCTCAAGCAAATGGGTAAACGGAGGTTACAAATCGAATAATTCTGAAAGGGCTGAAGACACGCCTAGGAAAGGCTGGGGGGCAATGGGGTTAAGAACTCCCAAATGTCCTCTGGGCTTATCAGACCACTGCCAGAACTCCTATAGGAGAAACCCTGTATAATCTCTATTTTGGTACAGTAGCAATCATACCGGTTGACATTGGAGTCCCGAGCAATAGAGTTTAGATTTTTAACTTCAGTAACAACGAGGAAAGGCTCAGAACTAATTTAGATCTCCTTCCAAAAGTGAGAAATGAAGACTCACTCAGGACCGTTGCATACAACCAAATAATTACTCGTCACTATAATCGGAGGGTGAGACCTCGACATATCTCTATTGAGGACTTAGTTCTGCGAAACATCAAAGCCGCTGGAAAAGGGAGGGGCGGCGAGTAGAGAGGAGAGAGGGAGAGGGAGGAATTAAGAGAGTTAATCCTTTGATTTGGGTCCAGGTTTGGAAGGAAAATAATTGAGGGAGGAAGCATGGTACCATCAGAGAGAGAGAGAGAGAGAGAGAGAGAGAGAGGTGTCAAATTCAATGTATTTGAGTTAGGGATCATATAATCAATCAATTTAGAATTTAATTAGTTAATAGAATGAAAGAAACTTCCAAAAGCTAATGTGCTTAATTAGGAAGGATTTTAAATTCAAATTGGATTAATTTGAATTTAAATTCTTCTCCTAATGACAATCTCAATGAAGAAAGAGGGGCTTTCGGGAGGGAAGTGGGGTTAGGGAGGGAGGTGGTCGACGATTAGGCTGGGGTATGGTGGCTCTTAGACAAGAGGAGGGAGGAGAGGTGGGTGGTTGGTGACGATTTGGAGAGGGAAGGGTGGTTGGTCGGCTAGGGAAAGAGGGGAAGTGGTGTCTTCGGCCGGCAGCTAGGAGAGGGAGTTTGGTCAGCGGTCCATAGAGAAGAAGATAGAGAGTTTAGAGAAAGAAAGATAAACCATTAGCTTGGGCATTTCCTGCGACTGATGGGTGCTATTTTGCCCTCACCTAAGGACTTCAAATCACGAGCCCGGACTAAGGGTGCAAGTGAGCTGAGTCGGCTCGAGCTCGACTCATTTATGGGCTCGCGAGCCGAGCTTATCAAGCTCACGAGAAACGAGCTCGAGCTTGATGAGGCTCGGCTCGTGAGCCGACTCGAATAAATTTTAATTTTTAAAATTAAGTAATTATTATTTTTTATTACATTTAAATCTTAAAAAAATGACCAAATTCAATTTTTTTTAAACAAAAACAGCATAGTACAATTCCCCAAAAAAATAAGGGCATTAAATATTTTAATATATTCGCAAATCCTTGGGTGGCCCAAGAAATCTTTCTTTTATATATATAGAAAAAAGCAAGAGATATTTCTTTTATTTATAGGAAAAAGCAAGTAACGGACAACTAAGAGTTGTGCAGATGAGCACCCCAAGGTTTTGGCTGGCTTGCTTGTTAGAAACCGGGCGGGTAATGAAGAAATCGGGTGGGCGAGAAATCAAAATTGATATAACCTTAATTTTATGTGCTTACGGATTGACAAAATTAAATCAAAAGAAAGATAGAATTGCAAGTGACCAACTAATGATGCAGAGGATGTTCTCCAAAATCATTAGAAAAATGTAGTTACCACTGGAGCCGAAGCCCTTTGCTGTTCAAGCCCCTATGATTAATTCTAAAACAGCATCAAATCAGGTTTCCAAAATATTTAACCCAACAACTAGTTAAGCTAATGTGTTCTACACCTTTGGTTTGATTTTCCAGAAAAAAACTAGCTCATATGCAAAAAAATCAGACAAATTATCTTAATCAGTAGAATGAGAATTGAAAATCTCAAAAGAAATAAATTTAAGGCAAGCACTTCTAGTTTCCTTCCTAACCAAACACCATAAACTCTCATCAGTTTTATGTAATTTTAACATTTGCTGAAGCAATTATTACTACAAATTCAACTCAAACATTTTTAAAGTGCATCCAAGTTTGATTATCTGGGCAGTTTATGCATACATTATCATCTATATTTATACATGACATTCCTCAAGCTTTCTTAAAATTAAGCAACTCAAAGGTTGAAAGGACAAAACTCAGTAAAATAAGCTCAAATTACATCAATTTCCACGTACCTCAACGAACACTGCTGTGGTTCTCTGAGGAATTTTGAAGCAGCCAGAAGAGCTTTCATAAGAGGATCTCTTGACCAAGCTATCAGCAGAATCAAGCTGAAACGAGTTGGACATGTCAAATCATCTGCTCATCTCAAACTATGTAGCACCGATACACCTATTTATGAAGGTGTGCTGTATCCGATACGCCAATACACGGATACGCCAGTACGTGTCGGATACGGTATTTCCCACATCCATTTCAAATACTATTTAATTTCAAAAGGGTACGCGTGTCCGTTGAAAAAAAAAAAAAAAAACCCGAAAAAAAGACACGTATTTACTTCAGCGGCTGCGAGCGAGGTACTCTCATTTCCAAGATGGATTTGAGTCTCTTGATGATATGGTAATATTAGAAATTGCTAATCTTTTACTTGATGAGCCTAAATTAGATGTTATGATATTTATTGAAGATGATATAGAAGTTCAAAGACAAATCATTGAAGAAGCTAATCATATCATTCCTTCTATTGAATATTTGAAACTTCATATGCTAGACAATTTATGTTTATGTTTTTGTTGTTGTTCTAGACATTTAATGCTTACTTTTATTTTGATATTATAAGCTACAAATGATGTTGCTTTCATTTTTTATGGTAATTTCAAATATTATGCTTTGATTGCTTTCTTAATTTTTATGTATGATTTATAAATTATAATGACGTGTCCGCACTTTACCCGTATCCTGTATTTTTAAGAATTGATGTGTCCCGTGTTCGTATCGTATCGCATCCATGTCGCCATATCCGTATCGGTACAACATAGATCTCAACCAATGATTAATTCTATATAGATCACAAAAGTGTGATTTATAAATTTAGATAGCAGATTACCAGCACAGGATGCAACTGCAGTGCTCTTCTCTTCAGTGCAGGAATCGGCATTGAGACTTCAGTAGGGCAGGCATTGAATATGATGACAATATATGAGTAGCTGCAGCAAGAATGAATAATGGAAGATGGAAGATGTCAAGAATGAACTTTAGGAAATAATAGATAAACTAAAAATAGACATTTTAAAAGAAGATTCTTGGCTAAAGTTGTGTGTAATAAGCCTACTTTAAGCTGTAAGTTTCTATTAGTAAGCTCCAGTGGAAACTGAATGTTTAATAGAAGTTGACTGTTTATGTTCATTAGACCTGATATTATTCCACACAGTTTTGCTGCATAAAATTTAATTCATAATAATAGATGTTAACCCACTTATGATCAAGTTGAACAATGCCAGGTTTTCCTTCATTGCAATCTTCAATGCTCATAACAATTAATCCTTGAACCCATGAGGTCCCCGTATTAAGAAAACGTACTCTTTCCTGAGAAAAAGGGAAATGGGAACAAAACGCTAGTTAAAATTTCTCAAATGAGAACCAAAAAAAGTAGTCAAAACAAGTTGATGTTCTGGTACAGATTATGATCCCCATTAATGGTTATTGAGTAAATTCAGTTCAAAATTCAATACAAACATTATATGATTTGATGGGTGCATATTGTTAGTCAATTTCCCACAGAGGTGATACTTCTCACGAAAAATAATATACTTTCTCCTCTGATTAGTCTTAGTCATCAGAAAAACTAATCAGCTTGAATAATAAAACACCAAGTTATAATGCCGGTATTCATTCCTGAAAATTGCATATTGCATTCATTAAGACTTAAAAAAGGGGTACAAAAAAGTACAATCTGGCATGGAAATACTGCCTGTCTTCCCAAAATAAAAAACAAAAGGGGAAGACAAAACAGGAAAGGAAAAAGAGCCCCTCAGCTGAAAAGGTCCCCTATGGTATTGAAAAGAGCACAAACAAAGCAAAAAATAAGAGACCACTAGAGAAGGGTTGAAACAGCCACAAGGGCTGATCAATTACCCATTACTTTTGAGGTCACTAAAAGACACCTTAAATTACATGGCCATAATTTCTTAGCAATATCTGAAACTATAGCAATGCTGCTGACAGAAACCAGGTGGATACCATGATGTGAAACGTAAATGCCATTACTTTCCTAGGTGGCAAGATTAATTAAATCCCAAATCAATTTGGGAAGAGAGAATGGAAATCTGAAATTAAATTTCAGATTAAGTGGAATTGCCGGGATGAATTTGAATTTAAATTCAAATTTAATGGGGATAATTAAATTGGAAGAGAGGGAATTGTGGGGGTAATTATGGAGGCTTAATGAGGGGGCCTGTTAATGAGATAGGAGAGAGATTATGCCCAATGAGGGGGCCGGCCACATAGAGAGAGGGAGGAGATTATTTGTCATAAGTAGAGTGGGACCCACATTACTAATCAAAGATTCAATAAAATCTGAATTAAAATTCAGATTTTGAAAGAAAGGAAAATTTTCAATAATGGGGCTATCAATTAGAATTAATTGGAATTTCAAATTCAAATTCACATCCAATTAATATGAAAGCCTTAAATCAAGGAACTATTTTAGGAAAGTCTTTAATGCCTCTTGGAAACAAATTTGAATTTCAAATTTGAAATTCCCAAGAGGGAGGCCGGTGGCTTGGTCGTCCCAAGGAGGTCGGCGGAGCCGCCGGTGGTGGGATTGGCCTGGGATGGCCGGCGGTGGACTTATGGGGGCAGGTGGAGGGGATTTGGGAGGAAGAGAGTTTGGAAACACCTCCAATAGAACTCACAAAGAGATCTACAAGCACCACTTCCTCAAGAACTCACAAAGAGATCTTGGGAATCTCGAAACTCACAAAGAGATCCTTCCACTTCCTCAAGAACTCACAATGAGATCTTGGGAATCTCGGAACTCACAAAGAGATCCTTCTCCTCTCATGAACTCACTAAGAGATCAAACAAGTAGAATAAAATTTCATTAACAATTCATCATCCCATTACATAAGAAAGGGCCTCTATATATAGGCCTAAGAAACTAAAACAAGACACATATGCCCCCAAGGCTTACATAGGACGACCCTCTTAAGTGAGGGTAAAAACGAAAAATTCATAATAAAAATTTAAAAATTACAAATAAAATATAAGATAACGTGGGGCGATGACAGCCGTTGATCTTCAGCTCCTCGGATAGCCATGGACGTTTGGATATCCGCATCATTCTCCCGGGGTGAAAAAGGGCTCGACTCCGTCGAGTCCGCACCCCAGGTAACCATGCTCTAATACCAAGATGATGTGAAACCAGGAATTGGATCTTAGAAAATTAATAAAAACTTGTTAAAATAATGAAAATACAATCTTAATGATTCTCACAATTGATACTTCCAAGAGATCTTAGGTTTCAACTAAGCTTAGGCAGGTTATTACCGCTAAATTAGCAAGATCTATAAAATAACGACGACAATTAATAGTAAAGCCAATGAAAAGCCAACTAGAATCTGGAGGTTAACAAAGCGTTTGTCTCACCTTGAGGCTTACGCTCACTTGTTAGTTTCTAGGGTTGTCGGAAGAAGAAGAACCACACAAGGGATGAAACCACTCCGAGGGAGGCGGTGCCGGCGATCCGTAGTGATGGAGAGGAAGGCGTAGGATGTGGAGGTGGCGTGGAATTTCGGCCGTCAATGGTCCACATGTAGTCCGAACATTGTTTATCAATGACGTGGATAAGGGTCGGTAGGATCCGATCCAAGTAAGCTCCAACAGTGTCGTCGTCGGAGTCAAATCCCGCGTCGAAGAAGGGCGATTGTAGAATGTTGAGATTACGGTGGGCGTCGAACATAAGCCCCCATTCTAGCTCGGGATCTGCCATGCGACATGGGGTGAAGATGGGTGGTCGTCACAAGAAGCTCTCCAAAGGGGAAGAGGGGAAGGTCGGCGGGTTGTAGAGAGGAGGGGAGGCCGGCGGTAGAGCTAGGGTGAGAGGAGGAGTTATGTTTAGAAAACTGAAATTGATTTCAGTTTTAGGGATTTAGGAGGGAAATATTTGGGATCTAATTTTGAAATCCCAAATTAAAGGGGGGGAATTTATGGCTCATTCAATGGGAGAGCCAATAAGGGGGAGGCCGGCGGTGGGGAGAGGGGGAGAGGGAAGTAAAACTGAAATTAATTTCAGTTTTAGTGCAATTGGGGGGAAATTTATTTGAAATCAATTTAGGATTTCAAATTAGAGAAAGGGAGTTAATTGACTTCTTAATGGGGAGCCCAAAGGGGGCCGGCGGTATGGCTAGAGAGAGAGGGATTTGGGGAGAGAGCAAAGGGGGGTTTCCAAATTGATTTGATGATGTGGAAAAGGAGTTAAAAACTCCAAATTAAATCAATTTGAAATTGTATTCAATCATGGGAACTTTCCTAATTTGGAATTCTAAATTAGGAAATAATTCAAAATTTGAATTCCAAATTTCAAATTTGAAATTGGTGGAGAGAGGGATTGGCCGGGTGGGGGAAGGTCGTCGGCTAGGTGGGCGGCCGGGGTTGGGAAAGTGGCCGGCGGCGGAAAACCCAAGGGGCGGCGGCAAGGGGGGCTAGGGTGATTTTAGGTGGGGTTTCTTGTGGTGGGGAAGAGGTAGGTGGAAGAAGAGAAAAGCTAGGATTGCAAATACCTAGAGAACTCACAAAGAGATTTCAAACGAAGAACTCACCAAGAGATCTTCAAAAACTCACAAAGATCATAAGAGTAGAAAATTTGATTCATCCAATAATCCATAAAATACAATGACAAAGCCTTTATATAGGCTATCCGAAACTAAAAACATAAAGACGACATTGCCCTTGGGCTACAACAAGCACTAATCCCCTCATAGGGGTACCAAAAGAAAAAACATGAAATATAAATGACATAAATAAAATAAAACATCAAAAATAAAGACTCTGAATCATGGCCGTCGATCGGCGCCTCCGGCGATGGTACACGTGTCGAAATCTGATGTCCCCATCATACCAACTCAGTTAGTCTAAGTCTAATCTACTCAAAAACTCTATAAAACATATATCGAGGACACCAGCTCAAACGGTCAACCAAGATCCCATCTATTAGTCAAATCCCAAGTTAGCGGCTCAAACTTATCAGCCACCCATTCTAGTTGGGATTATGACAAACAGAATAGATGCTAATAAGTTAGGCCAGCCAGTGAAGATATGCATTCCATTGTAAGTGTCACCCTACTGCGGTTCTAATAGGCTAAACTTGTCAAGGCCCACAAGTTGGCGAAACTCACCTATCAATTCCATAAAAACTAAATATTTTAAATTAAAATTTTTGCTCTTGAGGTGGCTATTGTCCAACTTTTGTGTTGGTTAAGACTCAGCTAAAAACAATTGTTGATGGTGATATGCTCTTTCCCTTTCAAGGCACATCAAACTAATAAGATTGCTCAACTTATAGTAACGGACAAGCTGCAGTCATAGCATCTTGATGCCCAAGTTGCTAGGTGAGTTCTTTTAAAATCGCGAGAGGGAGATCGGAGGGCTTGAACAAGAGACAAAACAAGGAGATGAAGTGGAACAATGTGATAGAGAGGAAGAGGAGAAGGCCAATGTGAGGCTTGTGGTGATTGAAATAATAAAATTTTAAAATTACAAATGGATATACTTAAGGAATTTTATTTTAACTAGATTCAAATTAATGATATTGTATATCATGTTTTCAATTAAGAATAACTCTAGATTTTATCATATAATTAATTATTAAATTATTACTATTAGAAATATAATGATTTATAGATGTTTAGAATTTGAAATCTTGATAAAAAGTTAGAATAATCACTATATGGAATTTAGGAAACATTATTAAGAAAATTGTCTTTATATTTTAAAAAAACTTCAGAAAATATTAAAGCTATAATTTAAATAAACTTTAAAAGAGTACAGAAAAAGGAAGATTTAAATTTCAATATTATCATCTGAATTTAGCTTGAAATATTCAAAAATTTAGGCCTCTAGTACTCTTATGGTTTTTTTGCATTTCTCCCCTTAAAATAAATTAATAGAAATAAATAATACCTGAATATCATTAGCTGTTTGTAAACGGAAAAGTTGCGATGAATATCTAATTTGCAATAATTCTATAAAATTTTCCACTGCAGCAAGGATATGATGCTTTTGAGGCTTGAATGATGAATCTGCCAAGCGAGGTCTAATCCTGCAATGACATGAAGATTATTTATGGGCTATTTGGTTAGATAAAAAAGAAATATAATGTAAAAAAAATACTTTGGAATTGTTTATATATATATATATCAAGTGAGCTTGCTCGCTCAAAATTCGGAAAGTTTAGTTTACCTCTAAAAAGAACTAATATGATTTACACTACATTTATTTAGTGCATTTCTTTTTCATCCCACAAAACATCAATATTTTCAAAACCCTGCATTTGAAAAACTTTACACATATTTTAATTCCAACCAAACAACCCTTTGAGCAAGAACAATAGAATGATGGAAATATCACTTAACTTTGCATTTTGCATAGACCTTCATGTAAAAAAAACATCTCCATATGATTAACCATAATCAACCAAACATAATTGTAGTTAAAAGTAAAAAATTAATGAAATGCTATTAACAATTCACTTACAGGGGCCAGTTATTTTCATTCTTTCCTCTGGGAGGTAGCCCGACACCCCAATTGTTTGACTGATAACTGAAGTCAAGCCTAAATGAAAACGAAACGTATCATAAAGCAAAGTAAATATGACGTCTTGTGCCTAAATAAATTATCTTAGCTTCAACAATCTGCCCTTCCTCAATTAATTTTGTCATAAGACAATATTTATTTATTTAGTTTTATTTTATTTTATTTAATAACATAATATATTTTATGGTCAATGGTCCAAAAATAAACTATTATCTTAGAAGTGGAGGTACACTATTACAGCCTTGTAAACAAGAGGACCGAGCAAATAACCGTATGTATTATGTAATGGTACTGCGTGATAAATGATAAATGATCACCTATTGAACCAATCACCAGAGTTGTATGAATCACGATCGAGTGATTTTGACCGCAACATGTCATCACCACAATGGAAAAATGGTATTCCCTATAAAAGAAATAAGTAAGAAAATAAGTGTCAGTTTTATCTTCAAAAAAATATTCAGAAACATTTTTAGGGGCGTTGGGGATGGAGGGAGTTGCTAAATTTTATCCTAGAAATGCAAATGAAATATAAAGTCGCCTAATAAAGTGAAGTTACACCTCAGTCAATATAGGAATACGCAAGGGCAGAACTAAACAAAAGACGAAGAAGGAACAAGCTGTTATAGCTGCTAGAAGCAAAACATAAAAGCAGAAGACCTGTAACATAAAGCCATTCCAACCACTCCCCCAAGCGTCTATGCTCTGTTGGAGTACATGTGACCTCTTGACTGAACGTTATCCATGATTATAACGATCATTTAGATTAAAGAATATTTTTGGTGGCCACGATAGAAAAATCACGGATATGACGGTTAACCTCAATAGCTACTATGAAGTGTTCGTGCAAAAAGCCTGAACAGTGTTCGTCGTGATACACATTCGGGGCAACATAAATAACTTAAACAGACACCCACATTATTTGGGTATTCATGCAATAAAAATTAAAAAATTTGCCCTTGTGTGAAGAGATGGGTGACGTCAATCTGAATGAGCGACAAAAACAAAAATACAAAAAAAAATCAAAATCCTTCTTTTTTATTTGCTACTATTACTGTATTATTATTATAATTAATAAAACTAAACAACCACAACAATAATAACAACACTCAGCCAATACCCGTATCTGATCTCTTGCAGTTCCTCGTACTTACGCCATTCCCCTACACGAGCCCTCTCAAATTGAACTCCATCCATCCCTCTCTCTTGTTGTCCTTCATGCACACACACATACCCGCACTCACATCCCTTATCTCACTCCCACTTGAGGTTGCCGCCTGCATGGCCAGATGCATGCAGCCATAGGCCTCCTCCTTTCTCTCACTATCCCTCCCTTTTATGTTCTCCTCTCTCCCTACACCTCTTTATCTCCCTCTCTATTTCTCTCATTATCTCTTATTTCACTTTTATTCTCTCCATTTCTCTTTCTCAATAAAGACCCATAGACACCTTATTGGCATGATGGGATATAAGATCTCCCGGCTGCGGTGTTTCACAACATCAACCATGCACATTTTCTAAGTGCAGTGGGAAGGCATAACACTACTGAAAATGCCTCCTATACGGGAGACGTCAGGAGACTACCAAAATTTTCAGTGAATGAAATTGCAACTTATAAAATTAAAATGAACCTTTGCACTCAACAACATGACCAACAATTAAAATACAATTATAAAATTAAAAATAAAATGAAATATCAAACACCCAAAATGCAATATTTGTCACGTCTAATGAACTGCAAGGTTTAGAATTGAACATGAACACTATAACGAAACAAACTTGTTGGGCCTTGCGATGAATTTGAAAGCTAGTCAACAAGCAGAGGACATATAATGAATTTAAGAGCTCACTTGCAAGTACAAAATCTCTTAAGTACACTAAACAACTCTCCTGAATACTCAAAACTCTCAAGAACACACTCGTGAGCTGAGCTTTGAATAAAAATAAACTAGAATGAGATGCTATTTATAAATTGAAGAGAAACTCCTTCCCTATGAGGCACACTCGAGCAAAAAACAAGCCACAAACAAATAAATGGTGCACCTTTTGAAAAATACAAGAATAAATTCAACCCATGACATTGACAACCGAACCCACAACATATGCACAAGCGGATGAAATGTAAAATATCAAGTTGCAAAAACCGGACTGGACATCAAATTAGAATAAAAGGTTCAACCTTCAATAGTTCAACTAGGGTTAAACCGAGAGTTGAACTAGATGTGGAAATAAATAATAAAAGTATTTAAATAAGGTCTAAATGATATAATAATGATGGAATAATTATGTAATAATATAATTTTGCGACAAAAATATGAATAGAATTCATATACAATATATTCTATAATTTTAAATTTAAATATCTTTAATTTTTAAATTTGATATTAATTTAAATTTAGTTTATATATAAATATATAATTTAATATAAATTATTACTATTTTTTATTACATATTTAGATATAATTTATACATATAACTTATATAACAAATTCACATCATCAAATTATATATATAAATCATTCATGCATATAATTAAATATATAAAAATTTTGGAAATGATAATTATATGTATTTAATTCTTTTTTAAAAGTAATAATATATTAAATTTAAATTAATTTATTTAATTATTTAAATATAAAAACACTTGAACCAGCTGGTTTTAAGAAACTGGAACCGATTCACCAGTTGAATTGGCGGCTCTAATTAATTCGATTCGGTATGATGCAAAATTAGTTTTCAAGATGAAACAGATTATTCATGATTGAACCGATCAAATTAGCCATTCTAGTTTGCTTTTTAGACCTATGCAAAAATATAAAGCCACGTACATGTTTTAAGAATAGTGTGTTCACATGAACAACTACTACATCATACATCTACATATCTTAAATAGTCACATTCGCTTGAATAGTTTTCAAATACAATGATCCAACCTATTGCACGTTATAGGTTGACAAGTACCTAAGCGACGCCTACATTAAGAAACTTGTACACACACAATAAACAAATAGTGCGTCCCATGAGCGAACAATGAGAAACTATTTTGGCAAATGTTTACTACAAAAAGAAACGGCAACATACATGGGTCAAATACAAATCGCGATATCCAACACCCATCTCCATGATCGCATATTCCACACGTTTCAAGTATTCACTCACCTCTTTCTCTAGCACTCACATTCTCTCCCGCAACGACCTTTCAACTTTGGCTCACATTCTCACTCCCAATGCACTCCTGTTCCGTCTTTCTCAATCTTTAGCTCTCATCATAATCACTCATATTACTCTTTAGACTAGCGTTGATGGGAAATTTTTCTACTTTAGTACTAAAATATTTGAGATCAAATGCAGCATAGAAAATAATATATTATTCCCAAAAATAAAAAATATTAATTTGCAATGGACTCAATAACAAACCTTATATTTTATTTTCTTTTTATATGCCATAGATATTTCCCAATAAAATATATTTGATTGAATAGGATTTATTTTATACTCATATCCAAGTTCCCCATAATAACAAGTTTATATAGTTAATTACATCTAAATGATATTTGGCCTTTAATTTTTTTTTTAATTAGTAATTTACATTTGTTTTTCAATCTACTACTTTATAAGATTTTTAAGAAATTCATTTTAAATATTTGGTCTTTAGAATTTCAGTGATGATTGAATCAACTTAACATTGATAAGTATAAGCCAAAGGAGGAAAGAGTACGAGTATTTAATTTTGAGATATGCAGAGGTACTTAATAATATCTTAAGTTAGGCTTTACATTTTGAAATTGAATTTAAGTTTATGCTGATGAATTTGATTTTGAAAATTGAGGCTTATATTCCAATAATATAAGATTAAAATAAAAAACCAACGAGTTGAGGGCTTATAATGCAACTAAGAAATACATTAGCCTCAGACCCTAGATTTAATGTGAGAATTAGCAACAGGTAGTAACTCAAATATAAATCAATTAAAATGCATGGGATCTATGAACTTGAAACCTCACCTATAATTAAGTTAACCTATCCTCTAGTCTTACAAATCCTACCTGAAAAATATGTCTAGCTAAATCCACCTAAGTACTCTTAAAAATCATGCAGTCATGATATCCATGCAAATACATAATAGATTAGATTATTTTGATTTTACGAAATAAAATTATAGCTTATCCACTTATGATAAAATGCCTAACCAAAGGGGTATGTATAAGATTCACAATGTAATTTTTTTTGTTATCAAATCCTTAACGTGAGAGCTTATATTGTTATATGTGATTTACAAGGCTATACATATGATGTTCATCAGCAAAATAAATAGGATTGTTGTTTATTGATAAGCACAACCATATGGAAGAGTAATCAATCAAACACTTAATCGCATACACCCATTAAGGGGATTTGCATTTTAATTTAGTTTTGAAAGAGTTAATTTATTTTTAGATAAGCCACGTAAATTTATTTGAAAATATTATCTTATGGTTTGTTTTAAGAGATCTTACATTTTACAGGATAGAAAACTTAATTTCTTAAGAGTCTGTCACACAAAATATCCACCCCACCCTGAAGCAACGCATAAAAAGAAACCTAAGAAAATATGTAATTCTAATGCATATTTAAAGTAAACAAGCAGTCAATTACAAAAAATCAACTACAAAATAATATAAAGGCTTTTCACATTCAGGAAAATAAAAATGACAACTAAGTTGTGTGCCTTATATAATATAGTTGAATTTACAAACTCGACCAGTGAGTTTTCAAGTTTTGGCTTTTGATGCTTATTAGGCTTCACTTTAGAGTTCAACATTCTGGCTCACCGTTCCTTTCGCTATATCACAAGCTTATATAACTTATTGAAAATATGAATGAATTACATTTGCAAAAAGAAAACCCTTTGCTACAAATCAAGAATTAGAAAACCCATAATATATTTATATATATATATTCAAGCAATTTAATAATAATAATAGTCATTTTAATTAAAGAATAACATCTAAATTTTCTACAACAACAACAACAACAACATCAAGCCTTTATCCCACTACGTGGGGTCGGCTACATAAATCCTTTTTCTCCATTGTGTCCTATTAAAAGTCAAATTCTCGTTTAAATCTAATAAAGAAAGGTCAGTCCTAATATTTTCATATAATTAAAGAATAACATCTAAATTTTCTATTAAATTTAAATATATTTTGCAAAATGAACCCCAGATATGAAACCTGCTAGCAGGTGGGACAAAAAGGACCTCGAAAGAGGCAAAATGGACATCTATGTAGTTTAATGACGATAATGCAAGATTTACCTGAACTCCATTGAACATTTTTTATAAAAGTTAACTATATAAAAAATGATGGGCAGAACCTTAAAAGACTAATTATGATATTTTGTACAAGCTTCCAATGAAATAAATGATGATCCTAAATATGATTTTTATGTTATTTAGCAAATGTTTGTAAGTTGATTCAATTATTATTTAAATTATGTTATTCCCTGTAATATTGTATTTAATCTTTTATTTAAATTGCATAACTTTATGAGCTTGATAGCTCACTAGTTCTTTTATACTTACTGTTGTTACAAGTAAATGCAAGAAAAAAATTGAAGCAGAGTAGTCTCATGTTATTGAATATTTAGGTTTTTGTTTACTAGTTTTTATGAGGTATGTATACAGTCAAATAATGGTGAAGTATTTTGATTTTCTTAATGACTCTGTAATTACTTGTGTGAGACAAGAGGGAATATTTAGATGCTTCCATTATTCAAAACATATGTGTTAATGTAGTTGAGTTAAAAATATACATATGGAAATGCTTAGAAGTATTATATGTTGAAAATTATGAATGTATTTTCCTGTGACACTTTGTGTTAGTGAGGTGTTACATAAATAACAACCAAAACTTTGTTTTGTTAAACAGCATGCATAGTACAAAACAAAACATAATCAATGAGTTTACAAAATGTTCAGCAATCATGATAAAGATTGCAAGTGAAATTTCAAGAATACATGAAAAAAAATCAACAAACCAACATGTGAAATTTAGAGATTACATTAAATGAAAAAAAAAAAAAACCAACCTGTGAAAGAGCGACAATACTAGTGGCTACATGATTTATCCTACATCGGTCATCCACTGAAATGCCAACTGGAGCCTGCATATGAGCAGCCAAAAGCAAATACATCCACAATGCTAGTTTACATTGATCAAATGATTGAAAAACAAGCATCAATAAGCATTCTTAGAGATGGGCTAGTAATTTGATATTGATATAGAAGATCATTAGACAATTAGAAATATTTTAGCTTGAACTGAGCTCAGTTTAAAATAACAAACTGACTTATGATCAAATCTGGTCTCAATCTAATTTAAACCACCCTAAACCCTATATTGAGCCCTGCAAGTTGGAAATCATAATAAGATATATTTGGCTGTGTAAATAAATGTATGCATGCATATAGTAATTTTTAAGATTTATAGTTCAGGTTTTAAGGTTTTGTACTACTTATTTAACATGTAAGATGTTTGTTTACAACAATAATGAACTTCTTCAATATGCATTTATGGATGCATGTAAGCATTCAAGAATGAGAACTTGACGAAAAGATAAAAAATGGATAAAAAATAAAATCAAATATTTATCAAATGTGGTGAATTGGGCTCAACTAAAATTTAGATCACATAAAAAAGACCTTTGGCAAGGTAAAGCTAGAACAAGGTCAAATGGGAAGACGTCAAACCAATCTAAACTTAGGGTTGGGTCAGCTTGAAATTAGATCATTTTCAACCCTATCTAATGCCATATAAAAATAAAGTTACACTAAGAAATAAAAGGTTAAAAAAATGAAAATTGAAAAGTTTTGGAGGTGCTTTAAAATAAATGAGGTTTCCTCTTATACATCGTAATGAAACTGAAAACTAAGAGAACGACATATGAGTTGAAAGATTTGAAATGATATTTTATGCCTATTCAACTGGTATTTTTGCTTTGAGAATAATTGTTGGCTCAAGAAAAATGGCACGAATACATGAATCCTACTTTGCAGCTGTAGGATTCTATTTCCTTTAAGTCAGATTATAGTAAACCAAATTGTTTTTTAGGGTAATGTCAGGATTTAAAGATCTAGGGTCTTTACTCGTCATGAGTGCTTGTACTCATGGTTAATTACCCCACTTAATTCGTAAAAGAAAACTCTCGATTAAGGATGAATAGTTTTTAGGTATTTTAAGGGTAAACCCGATCAAGAACCCATGGTTTCGTCGTCCCGGGTATACCTTAGGTTTCAGTCTACCAACACTATAATCATTGACCATAGTGTCTAGGGAATCTGATTAACAGCCATAAGTTTCACCCTTTCAGAGATCTCGAGTAGACTGATGGTGAGATTTGAGTTTTTATTTTATTTGGAATTTGGGGTTTACATCTATTAGAATACCCAAAAGTTGATTTAATTTGGGATTTATAACTTCGTTTAGACGTTATCCATAAATTTGAATTTAACAGGTCTTCGACTTCTTTGGAAGTAGACCAGGTGTTCGAATTTGGATCGGGACTTACAGCTTTCATAGAAAGTATCCTACAACTTAGCTCTATAGCAAGACTGCCCGAAGATTTAATTGTTTTTGTAGGTCTTATGACTTCTCTTAGCAAGTTGCTTGAAAAGCGGGTCTTACAACTTAATCTTTTAAGTTAAGATGCTCATTGGTTTGAATTGGATTGTTTGGAGTTTAAGATTATTGCAATTTATTTAGCAATTTTTCTAAAATGTAGGTCTTACGACTTCACTTAGAAGTTGTCCGATAGCGGGTTTTACAACCTAATCTTATAGACTAGGATGCTCAATTGTTTGAATTTGATTGTTTGTCCGCGAACAGTAGTTGTTTGACACCAGACCGTAGTTTTAATTGATTGGTTACTAGCAGTTGTGCTTATAAGTTTGACCAGTTGTCATTGTGATACTAGTGGTTTTTTTTTTCTATAGTAGTTTTTCTTTTTTGTTATTTCAAAGGTTCTTTTTAGTACTAGTAGTTTACTTTTCCTGCACCAGTGTACAAGTAATTTACTTTTCCTTCACCAACATATTAGTAGTTTACTTTTCCTTCACCAGTGTACTAGTAATTTACTACAACATTTTTTGTTTTAGCATTTATTTTTTATATTAACTTATTTTAATGAACTTCATTTATTTACTTCGAGGAGCTCGTATAAAAGAGTTGGAGCTTGCAGAGTGTTCTTTTTCTATTGGAGAGTTTTAGTTTGTGTTGTGAGGAGTTTTTTAACAGAAGTTTGTATAGTTGAAAGTTGTGGTTGTTGAGTTGTGTTGTTGTTTGGAGAGTTGGTTGAGTTTAGAACTGTCTGTACAAAGTTGAGAGTTGTTTGTGTTGATTTGGAGAGTATTGTGTATATTGATTAGTGAAACCTCCCCTTCCCCCTCTTCTTTTCTTTTTTTTATTGCAATTTATTTTAAAATTGCTTCAATTGATTAATTAAAATACCATCAAATTTTAAATTGTTCTCATATTTTTTAAAACTCTCAGATTTAAAATTGTCATTTAAAATGTTTTTGTATTCAAATTCTTATATTTAAAACATTCTTGGATTTAAAATTAATCAATTAATTAATTAATTTGACTGCTGAATCAATTTCAATTAATTATTTTATAAGCTAGAAAAAGAGGTAATATTTTGACAACCAGAGACCTCTAATATTTCAAAAAGAGAATAACATTTGAAATGTCACAACAATTTAAATTTTTTCACTCAATATTATCTATGTTGGAATTTCTTAATGAGAGGTCTTAATAAGAGTTCTCATTTGGAGACATTTGAGGCACCTCAAGATAGAATTTGAATTGAAATGATATCCATAAAGTTCTTATTTTTGTTGGATGCCATTTTGGAGAATAACAAGAAGCAGGATAAATGTATATTGAAGAATATGTTCATTCTTTTGGCTTATAAAAATTTTTTGTAGTGAACAATTAGTAATAATTCAAATGAACTTAATTACAATGATGATTGCAAAGATCATTAAAGAGCATGGATGACAGGGGTGTTCACAACATCTCAACTCTCATGCATTTTGATGATGAAGAAAAAAAAAACTCAATTAATCAATTATTTTGATTAATTAGAATCAATAAACTTTATTAAATATTAATTAACTAAATCATTTAATTAAAATTTAAAAATTAGTTTTTCCATTATTATTGAATTAATTGATGGTTAATTTGAATTGCTATATAGATTTCTGAGGCAATTTCGGCAACCTCCCAGTATCCTCTCCCCTCTTGGGGAGGTTAGGGCAGCACTTGTCGTTGCTTCTTCCCACCCAGACCTAAAGTCGACAGTGCAAGGTCTTTAAAAATTAAAATCATCAGCCCAAATTAAAAATCACGGCGCAAGTCTTCATACATTATAATCATTCGCTCGTATTAAAATTCACGACGCGGGTCTTCAAATCGACGAATACTTGTTTTATAATTTGTCATAATTTATTTAATTATATAAATCAACATATTTAATTGTAGCAATGTTGTATGTGTCTAATAATAACATATAATTCAATTATATTTTTTCTCAAATTTATAACAAGACAATGTAATACTTTATGTTGAATATCAACCTTGAGAAATTGAGACAATTCAAGCAATGCAAATAAACCAAGACAACAATACATTTTTATTGTCTTAAATTGAGAATAAATGCTTTAAGGTAATGTTTATGCTTTGACAAACCAAGACAATAAACGCAATTTTATTCTTTTAAATTGAGAATCTTTTAAATTGGAAATAAGTTCTTCAAGGTAATATTAATGCCTTAGAAAATCAGGATAATTCAGACAATATCATTTCATTCTCTTAAATTGAGAATAAAATAATATAATGCCTTAAGACAACAGTTTGCTGTATAGGCGAAGTGAAGACATTTTTTCAAAGAAGATTAAAGATTTTGACGAATAGAGTGTTAGCAAACTGAGGCAATCATGTGTGAAGACGGATCGTAGGCTTAAATTTATTTGCGGAGCCACTTACAAAAATTATAACCGAAAACATGGAGGTAGACGTTTACGATTGTCAAAGCCGAAAGCGGCTGTGCATGTATCGGGCACAGATGGACGTCAAAGGTCAATTTGGTGCAGACTTCACTTCATCGGGAATGAAGGCAATAGATTTTCTTGCGAACAAAAAAAGTATTCAACTGATTTTTTAACGAGCAAAACAATTGCACAAAATAGAACAAATCAGAACGAGCGTAAGTTTTTTATCTTTTTTTACTTATGTGGTAAGTTCGTACCTTCAAATTAAAATTGTATTATCAAATGAGAAGCAATTACGTTAATTTGAAGATAAACATCTCGTCTCATACTTGAAAGTCAAATATTATAAATAACGTGTTTGCAAAAAATAAACAAAATACTGGGTAGTTTGTGTAACTAACCGATGTGACTCAATATCATAAAACGGTGAAAGTTTAGATTGGTATACGTACATGTTGTAAATTGTAAGAAAGCCGCAACTTTCTGTAAGCTCTGTGGGTTCACTCTTCTTCAAGACCGTGACATAATGCTAAGAATGTCCGAATGTCCGAATGTACTAAAGTCATTCTTGCATAGGCTTCAGAAAAAATAATAAGGTCTTCAAAAATTTTCTTCTCATCTTTCTTGCGAACAAAGAGCAAATGTAAATCGGCGCTCAGGTCCGTATAGTGTGATGATAACAAAATACAGACGAGATCAACTATATTATTGATGACTCTAACTTTGTAAGTCCACCAGGGTGTACCACTATTTAATCTGATATTTAATATTCTGCATGAGATTTAAAATTCTTTAAGAGCTGATAAATATGTCAGGTATTGAGAAACAAGCTACTAAGAAAGATAACCAATCAATTATTCTTATGTACTCTCAACAAATCCAATTAGTTGCTGATATTAATCCATTACTGATTAATCGATTAGAAGCAATGAATGAAATTGGATTCGAAGTCAGATTTTATACCATGGGAGATTAACGTAACATATTTTCAAGCATGCATCACCGATGTAATGACAGGAGCTCTCCGCCACTGATATTATCATTTTAAAAGTTATCGAACTTCTAAGATTAAAGCAAAAACTAAGAACATTATTCATTACGTTATTGATATATATATCTGCATTTTATACAAAGTTAAGACCCATACATAAATTACATGGCACAAAAGGTATCAGATATGGTTCATCCTCATTATTTACAAACGATATTGAACTACCCTTCCTCTTGTATTAGCAATTGAATAATTTGATTCTTTTGAGACAATTTTTATCAAGAATGCTTTTATTGCTCCCACTTATCATGAGGCAACTATCAATGAAGGTCATAACAAAACTGAATATATTGCTACTCAATACCTGACCTATTTACCAACTCTTAAAAAACATGAAATCCCATGCAAATTATTAGATATCAAATTAAAGAGTGGTACACCCTGGTAGACTTGTAAATTTATAGTCACTAATGATACAGTTGATCTATTATGTATTTTGCCATCATCACACTACACGGACCTGAACGTCGATTTACGTTTGTTCTTTGTTAGCAAAAAATGTGAGAAAAAACTTTTGAAAACCTTATTACTTTTCTTGAAGCTTATGCAAAGAACGAATTTGGTACTCACGATCGTGATGACATAGTGGATCCAACATTCAAACATTCTTAGTATTATGTCACGGCCCTGAAGAAGAGTGGACCAACATAGCTTAAAAAAAGTTACAGCTTTCTTATAATTTATAACATTTACGTGTACAATCCTAAACTTTCACCGTTTTCTAATTTTGAGTCACATCGCTTAGTTACACTAACTATCCAGTACTTTGTTTATTTTTTTGCAAACACGCTAGTTGTAGTATTTAATTTTCAAGTATGGGGCGAGACGTTTATCTTCAAATTAACGTAATTACTTCTCATTTAAAAATATAATTTTTATTTGTAGGTACGTACTCACCACATAAGGAAAACAAAAAGATAGAAAACTTACACTCATCTTGACTTGTTCTATTTGATGCAATCATTTTGTTTGTGAGAAAATCAGTTGAATACTTCCTCCGTTCGCAAACAAATCCGTTGCCTTCAATCCGATCGAGTGAAGCCCGCGCTGAATTGACCTTTGATGTTTGTCTGCACCCGATACTTGCACAGCCGCTTTCAGCTTTGACAATCGCAAATGTCTATCTCCCTGTTTCCGGCTAATTTATGTAAGTAGCCGCAAATTGATTTAAGCCTACGACCCATCTCCACACGTGTTGCCTCAGTTTGCTGCCTCTATTTGTCCAAATCCTCAGTATTTATTGAAAGCTTGCATCCACTTATGCCTATACATAAAACTGTTGTCTCAAGATATTATAATATTTTATTCTTAATTTAAGAGAATGAAATGATATTGTCTGAACTGTCCTGATTTTCTAAGGTATTAATAATGTCTTAAAGAACTTATTTTTAATTTAAAAGAATAAAATTGCATTTATTATCACGATTTGCCAAAAACATTAATATTGTCATAAAACACTTATTCTCAATTCAAGAGAATAAAAGTGTATTACTATCTTGATTTCCCAAGATATTATATTTCCTTAAGACACTATTTTTTCATTACTTGAATTGTCTCAATTTCTCAAGATTAACATTCAATATAAATCAATATACTGTCTTGTTCTAAATTTGAGAAAAAAATATATAATTGAATTATCTGTTATTATTAAATACATACATGATTGCTATAATTAAAAATGTTGATTTACAGAATTAAATAAATTATGACAAATTATAAAGCAACATGTATTCGTCAATTTGAAGACTCACGCTGTGATTTTTAATTCAGACGAATGATTTTAATTTTCAAAGACCCGCGCTGTGATTTTTAATCTAGGCAAATGGTTTAATCTGTGAAGACTCACGCCGTAATTTTTAATCCGGGCAGATGATTTTAATTTTTGAAGACACTGCGCCGTCAATCTTAGGTCCAGGTGAGAACAAGCAACGGTAAGTGCCGCCCCAACCTCCTCGCGAGAGGAGAGAACACCAAGAGGCTGCCAGAATTGCCTCAAAAATCTATACAGCAATTCAATTTGAACATTAATTAATTCAATGAAAATGGTACAAATGATTTTTAATATTTAATAAAAATTTATTGATTAATATTAATCAAACTGATTGATTAATTGAGTTTTCTTATTTTCTTCATCATCAAAATGCATGGGAGTTGAGAAATTGCAAACACATGTCCTCTAAGCTCTTTAATGATCTTTGCAATCATCATTGCAATTAAGTTCATTTGAATTGTTACTAAGAACATATTACCAAAAACATTTATAAACCAAATGGGTAAACATATTTTTCAATTTACATTTATCTTGCTTTTTATTATTATCCAAATGGCATCTGACACAAATAAAAACTTTTTGGATAATATCTCAATTCAAAGTCTATCTTGAGGTGCCTCAAATGTTTCCAAATGAGAACTCTTATTCATAGTGAATCCTACCATAGAGTTCAAGGAAACCTCTGCCAAATCCAGATGCAACTTCTCATCCGTTTTTCCCTCTTCCTCTACTTCACCTCTCTCCTCCGTTTTCTCGTCATCACAAATGGTGAGAACCTGCAGAGTTCGGTCCCTACACCTATGCCCTGGGGTATACTTCTCATCACACCTGAAACATAACCCCTTTGCTCTCTTTTCCTGCATCTCCTTCTCTATTAGTCTTTTAAAATTTCCCCCACTACTTCCTCTTACTGGCCTCACAAAATCCCCCTGTTGTCGGACCCTTGGGTGTTAAAAAGGGTGGTTGTAGTCCTGTAAGAGCCTCCTGAGTGTCTGCTCTTGGTCCGCCTCTCATGATATCTCTAATTTTCCACCAATTGTGCCAACTCCATGGCCTCTCCCAAATCATGCGATCTCAGTACCTTCACAGCAGCTATGATATCTGATTTGAGCCATTTCATAAAGTTCCCCTCCAATACGGGTCTCTGATAATAGCTCCACCCTACTGGCCAGGAGCTCAAACCGCTCATGGTAGTCAGCCGCTGATTCATCCTACACCAAAGCAAAAAATTGCTCATAGAAATCTCATCCCCTGTCGGTTTGGAAACGTTCTAATAAACATTCCTTGAATTATCTCCATCTTCGGATGGGTCTCCTCTAGTCTCTCCATTAGTACCATGACAGCGCTTTCCCCTCCAAACATAAACCTGCTGCTGTCAATTTCTTTTTTTCTGTTTGCCCATTGACGGTGAAGTACCTCTCCACCTTATAAATTCACCCATGTGAGTCGTCCTCTTCAAAAATGAGCATCTTCAGCTTCCTCACCTTCTGATCTCCCCCATTTCCCCTTATTTTTCCATAGCTTCCCCTTTCCCAAGTGTTTGGCTCTCCCCAAGTCTCTCAGTCTTCCCTTGCCCTATCATAACCAAAGCCTCCATCGGGTTCCTCTTTCCTTCCTTCAAAATCAGCACCCCGACGACCATAATATCCCTCCCTATGTTCCCAATCATCATCCCTTTGCTCCTGCCCCCCATACTCAAGACTTTCCCCATACCTACCTCCTCTATCTTCCCTCTGGAAAGGCTCTAAATGGGGTATTCTCCTTTCTCCCTCTACGATCTCCACCTCATCTTTTTCCCTATGAATTTCAAAATTTGTATTCTTTCCTTCTGGCCCTCTCGCCTCGGAAGCCGCCATTTGCATGTGAAACTCTAACATCTTCTTCATCATGTCCCGCAAGTCATCCACTTGCCCTTCCATGGAGGAAATTAATTCCTCTACTGTTCTCTTGATTTGATTCATCTCCCCTTCAAGTCTCTCCTCTAGCGCATCCGCTTTCTTGGCAGCCATCACTCCCCGAATTTTTGTAGATTAAAAAATCTAAATTAGGATCACAAAAAACAGAAAATTCCTCCATAGCCAGCCGAAAAACAGCATATGAAATTTGCCAGAAATAGCCCACCAACGGTCCCAAGACTTGCTCTGATACCAATTTAATAGAAAACACTTGTAGATCTCAAGTATTTTGTACTTGTAGATTCAAATTTCCCTTCAAACTCTGTCAAAAATCTTTCCTAAATGGCTCCATGGGATCCAGCAGCTTACGCGACTAGTACAGGAGAGGCGGAGAGTTCCGCCTCTTTCGCCCAGGCCGGTCCCGAAGGACCGGCTGGACCGGTCTAACAACATAGTCACAATAACATCCTCACATACCTAGGTTATGCCGCCAATAATAATGAACAAGAAAGTGGTGTTGTCCTCTACGAGCATAAGCAAAAGGTTAAAAGAATGTACAGTATGTTTTACAACACATGTATATATCAAACCTTTGTGTAATATATCAATATGCTGCTGATTGAGAAGTCAAAAAGGAATATTATGAGATAAAATAAAATGAGGTTTATAATAGCAAACTACTGGGAAGGGGAATACCTTCAAACAGATAATGTCAAACAATGTTTCATTGTCATGTGCAGAGACATAATTAACCTGAAAACCAAAAACTGGTGATTATTTTGATTAAAAATTCTTAAACATAAAAAACAAGAATGTTCATATATATATATAACATGCCCATGCAAATCAGATGTGTTCACTAATATATATATATATATATGATAACAGTCTCTGGTTTACAATTGCTCCATGTTATCTTAACCTATTGTTGTTATTCCCAAGGCTATTTATAGTGCTAGATCCAGATATTTTTGGTTTTGGTTGGGTTCCCAGCTTGTTTGTTGCTGGAACTCCAGTTTGCTAGTCTTGCGTAGGGTGTAAGTGAGCTGAGCCAACTCTTGACTCGATAAAGAGCTCGTGAGCCGAGCTTATCAAGCCGTGAGCTCGGGCTAAAAGTTAAGCTCAAGCTCGAGTTCGAGCTTGAAAAAGCTCGACTCGTGAGCTCGCGAGCCGGCTCGCATTAGCTGCCATAATTTTTTTGAGAAAAATTAATAAATATGTTTACTCAGTTTGAAGATATTGGAGGCATTTAAATCGAAAAAAAAAAAACGACAAGATACTCTTATTTTTTTCCAAGTCTGCTATTTTTCCAAAAAAATTACTAAAGCTGTAATTTATCATTATTAAATCTACAGTAACTTTTAGCTTCTTTATACATATATAAATCAAATGCCACATTCCAAGAAAAAAAATCCACATTCGAAGAAAAAACTTCTTTAACTTTAGCTTGGTGGTGTATGCTGCCACATTTTGGTTGGTATTTGCCAGATCGTTCCAGTGGTGGATTCCGGGTTAGATATATCCTTTGAGCACCTATCCTTTATACTTCAAGCATTGCATGTGAGGAGATCGCTTGTTGGTTGTTCTGAGGGTAGCCTTGTTGTCATTTCTTTATGTTTACGGATTTTGTAAGCCGCTTTCTAGAGCTTGTTCCTACTTTTAATTTTATATGTGATGTTTATACTTTATTAAAAAGAAGAAATTTTCTAATTGCTTTCCTAAGTGTTCTCCATAAAATATTTAGAAACTTAGGTTGCATCAGCACCTAAGCCAAACCGACGTGTACGCTGCAAAAAAATTTACTCGAGGTATGAACCTCAAGGCATTTTTTTCCCCATAATTGAGCTGAGGAAATTTTAGATAGTTCATTAAAGCTAAAAAAAAGTTCAATTATCATTTTAGTAAGTACGGGTTATTGCTTTCACATTCAGAGAGTTATTGTAAAAGTTTGCTAAAAACAACTTTGGGAGATTGACTTGTTGGTTCACTAAGTTTTAGAAAGCTAAGATTACTTGCCATTAATTTTGTTGTAATTTTATAAAATGACAAAAAAGCCGATAAATCAATTTCCCCCCTTTTGTGTCCAGCTCACATCTCTCTTCACCATCTTACACCCACAAATTTTACCCATCCCAAAACAATCATTCCCCATTACCCTCCACCATCATCTTCCTCTGTCTTCAAGTTGTTGACTATAGTCACCTAAAGCTAACCTCAAGGTCCTAAAAGAGGCGAGCAAGATATTTCAAATACCCAATCGAGACCACATTAAGATCAATTGGATAAAAATGTAAGACAGGCTAAGGACATCAACGTCAGAAGTTATTATACTAATGAGAAAACGCGATGAAGATCCATGATTTAATGATAGAATGCCGATGAGGTTGCAAGTTAGATTTCTAAAGATAAGTAAAAAATAAAACTCAACAATGAATATGCCAGGTTTTGTTAAGTTCAAATACCAACAAATCAAATTTTAAAAACTTTTGGATGGAAGTGTCAGGTGAGCCAAACTTCACTGAGCTACAACATATATAATATACTTTGTTCAAAATTTAAAAGAAATAAAGGAGGGCTCAATTAACACACCGTTTCTGTTGGGCTGAGAGCATATCCAACTGGCATGCCATCGTGGGTCAGAATTTCACATCCTTTCATCTAAAAAATATGCATATGCATTTAACAAATACTAACAAAACAAATGCAACTTTATTAAAATCTACAAATAAATCAAAAGATTGCTAACTGAAATCCAAAACTCACAGAATAAAGACTTATCAGCTTAATAAAAATTTCAAAAGTTCTTCACAGTTTTCTATAGATGATTGGATCAAGTTCAGTGCTTTATGTTCACAATTTTTGTTTTAAAAATAAAAAAAAAAGGAATTAATTGTTTAAGTCAATCTAAATTAAAATTGAAGCAATTCTTTGAGAGACTGTACTATGTCTGATTTGGTTGATATTGCATTCAAACTTTGCTATTGCTTAAATGCTTCAAAAGAAGTACAGGAAGTATCTAAAATTCTCACCACATCACCTTTGTGACTTGTTAAGACGAAGTTTCTCAAATTTGCAGCTAACCCAACCTGAAATATGCCACAAAAAAACACCCTCTCACACAAAAGATTAAGAAAATTAACTTTGATAGAACGAAAAAGAAATTAACTACAGCTGGTAATCACATATGAAATATATTAACAACATCCATGTTAGCCCAAGCTGTGCCAATGATTTCAGTTGGCTTTTGGTATAAGTGTTGCATCATCCTTTAATGGGCATGTATAGCAACAACAAATCGGTTCTAAGAACTCATTAGAACGTCTTCCAGCTTTGAAAAGATTAGTAACGCATTTCAGACAAAGCATACTAAACATTATGATGTGGTGCATAAATATAAGTCACGAGTTCATCATTCCAATACAATTGAAGTGGTTGCAGGAGAAGATACGGTAAGAATCAAAGGAAAAACTGAGGAGAAGAAAAACACAATTAGAGAAGTTGAAAGAATGGAAATTGGAGAAGGTAGGGGCACCTTTAGTTTGGGAGAAAGTTGAGAAAAATTTTTGAGAGAAGGATCATGAGAAGGGCAAATTGGATATGGATGTTAGTGTGATGGCCCACCGAATCGGTCCAATAAGAAAATTAAAAGTGGGCGAGCAGATAGAGAAGCGAAGCAGCACCAGCAAGTGAGCGAGGTGAGACGGGCTGAACCAACGAGAGGCAACATGCGGGCGGGGCGAGCAGGGTCTGGGATGCGACTCATCGCATGCAGAAGTGGGCTTCCAGGCTTCCATTAGAGATAAGGGTTGGACGAAACTACATGATTCAGAGAAAGAAGAATAATGAGTTTGGCTTCGTGACTTGATCGCAAGAGTCAAGGAGGAGAACTCCGGTTCACTGCTATTCGACCGCAGGTGAAGTACAAGGTTCGAGAGGTTGCCTGCGGCTGCTGTTATATGAAGGATTCATGCTCGACAGAGAGGAAGAAGGGTAAAAAAGTATTCGGCTGTGCATTCCTATTTGACTGGAAGGAAGAAGTGTGATTGTTAGGAGGCAAAACATTGAAGAACTGAGTATAATGGAGGCAAAACATTGAAGCAAGCATGCGTTCTAAAGGAAAATTTAGGTAAAAGTTGAATATGCTAATAACACAGCTCGCCTTGGCCTATTGGTTGAGAACTTATGTTTCCAACTAAGAAGTATTGGGTTCGAGTCTTTGTGTATGCGTTGTGTGTGTGAGTTTGCCTTAAATGGCCTAAATGTCCAAAAAAAAAAAAAAGAATATGCTAATAGAAATTTAATTTAAAAGAATGAATTATTGCTTTAAAATAATTGCATACATTGACATAATTATATATATCTAACGATTATATTGTGAATTAAGGATAGACATTTAAGAATTTAAGAAATTTGGAGGTGGAGTTCTAAACTTGAAAAAGAAAGTGGGATAAGAGATTAGATTCTATGTTATAGCATTTAAAATTTCTATGCATTTATTGATATGACATTTATATGCAAACTTGATAATTCTAATAATGTTGCAGTGCAATGTGCATTAAAAGAAAATCAAATGATCTGTGTTATAATACAATACATATGAAATGTGGATTGTATCATTGATATTGATAGATAAATAAAAATGAAAAAGATAAACTATAATATTAAAAAGTACTGAAATGAAAAAATATATATACATGTAAATATAAGAGTTCACTTTTATGATACTAGTTAAAGGCGTAACCTACTCATGCACAACAAATAAAAAAATCAGTAAGAAAAATGAAAATAATTGTACCTTAATTGATAAAAAATTTAGATAATGCTCATTGAATAAACAAATTATTAAAAATTAAAGTAATCCATTAAAATACTACAAAATATTCATGTGAATTGTCCGGAACCAGCCCTAATTTTCAGGGGGGCAAACTTATAAGACATATATGTCGGGGGTTCAAGGGGGCAGTGTCTTCTGGCGGGGTTCGACCTGTTGGGGGCAATTACCTAAAGACCATAGTATTTTAAAATTTTTAGGGGGGGCAATTGCATGAAAACCCTTGTAATAAAGACTAAAAAATGAATAAAAAGGGGTAAATTACCTAAAAAAACCATATAAAAAAATTTTAAAAAATTTTTAAGGGGGGGCAGTTGCCCCCCCTGGAACCTATTGGGTTCCGCCCTTGTGAATTGATGATTAAGAATACCTTCATTTATATTATTATTAAATGAAAAGCTTAATATTATAACATGATTACTTAAATGCATATTTCATTATTATGGCTATACCATAGAATTGTAATTGACTACCGATTTTGGAGATGAAAACTCAACCCATTATATTAAACATTTCAATTAAATTCTCAATTAAATAAATGACTTAACGAGATTTCATTGTCTATGAAAGAAGAGGTTCAATTAAAAATAGGGCTGCAAATGAACCGAGCCGAGTCGAGTATGTGAGTGTTCATGTTTGAGTTAATTTATTATTAGCTTGTTCAAGTTTGGTTCATGTTTGATTCAAACTTTATTGTTTGTGTTTATGTTCGGTTCATTTAATTAATGAGTGTTCATGTTCGGTTCATTTAGTGCTTATCAAGTTTTAAACAAACAAGCCTTGACGAGCTATAAACGAGCTCTACTTCTAGATGTTCATCAACTTAACAAACGAGATTTATCGAGCCTCCTAACAAACAATTACATCGAGCATGTTCGTGAACATATTTAGCGAATTTTTTTAATTATCATATATTATAATATTTAATTGCTTTAAATTTTATTATTTAACAATAATTATATCATTATGTTATAATAAATATAGAATATTTATATTATGTATATTTATCAATTTTATAATCAAATATTAATTGAGTTTTTATCGAGCTTATTCAAGAGTTTTGAATCAAACACGAATCAAGCTTCTTATCGAGCTTAATGTCGAGCTTAGTCACGAGCTTTAAATGATGCTGTTCGTGAACATAAATGAGCCGAACACATTAGTATTCAAGCTTGTTTATTTAATGATCTAGTTTTTAAAATATTGTTCAAATTTGTTTGTTTAATTAATTAAACGATCACAAACAAGCTTTAATTGAACCGAACAACGAGTAGCTCGTCGAATGTTTGGTTTGCTTGCAACCCTAATTAAAAATTTGTATGAATGGTTATGTATGTGTGTGTGTATATATATGTTGGTGATCAGTGGTTCTTTTAAACATTTGGGATGTTATTTTCTTTGACTGTTTAGTTTTTACTGGAAGAACTAATTGACTGTCCGACTCTTGTTCTAAGGTACTTGAGCAGGGTCGTGATGGTTAGATTACGAGAGGGGGGTTCAGTGAGAAATTTATGATGGATAGAGAGGGTGAGAAGGGGATTAAGTAGCAAATAATACAATAGCTCTTTAGTAATCATTGATTATCCTACAATAATTCTAAAGATCCGTTTATATAGAAAAACAATGGAATAATTATATAAGTGACCTTAATCATGATAAGTCTAGAATAATCTTAAGAAATAGATTAAATAATCTAACAACAACAACAACAACAACATCAAGCCTTTATCCCACTACGTGGGGTCGGCTACATGAATCCTTTTTCTCCATTGTGTCCTATTAAAAGTCAAATTCTCGTTTAAATCTAATAAGAAGGCAATGGCAGTGTTAAATAGATTAAATAATCTAAAGAACAAAATTTAAATATTCCCCATTACATTAACTAGAAAAGCAAACAAATGATAATAAATCACGTAACATACAACAAACGTATACCATGATCAGGCGGATACCATCATATTACAAATAGGTTAAACTCTAGTCGGATCAAATATTAAAAGTGCAAAGATCAACGATATGGAGGATGCTATTTGGTCTTGGATAAAAATTGACAATCAGGAGATTTGACAATAATCATATCAAAGATCAATGCCCCTTGAAGTTAACCAGATTAAAGAAAAATGGCTCTTCAAATTCTTATTTCATGCCTTTTGCGTTTTAAGGAGCTACCTAGTGTGATGTTGGATGGAGACCAAGCTATGGTGCATGAGCATTATGATGCCTGGAGAGGCAAGCTCAAGCGCCAGATAGACGCTGCATTGAGGACAAAAATAGGAGCCTGTCAAGAACATGTGCAGAGAGGATTGAGGTTTGTGAGAGATAACATGATTAGGTTGAGTCATAAGAGAAGAAAAGCAAGGAGGTAGCAGTAAAGAGCATTGCACATGTGACTAGAAAGTGGGAGGGAGAGCACGAGAGTGAAAGTTGACTAGAAACGAGAGGGTCAAGTGTGGGTCTCTAGAGCGAGGTTTTAGGGAGAGAGAGTATCGGTAATAATAAGAGGTGATTATGTGTGGACTTAAAGTGTAGTAGACACTAAGCAAAGTCAGGGAAAGTAGAGAATTAGAGAGGCAAAGTTGTGGGGGAAACAAGAGAGAGGAAGAGATGGAGAGCGAATAATTTACCAGGATAAAAGACCGTGGTTGGTTAATCTGGTTTTGAGTACATTAGGCCCAAAGATGTGTAGCTATTTTTTTCTTTTATTTCTAAAGCATCCCTTCCACTAGTTCAGCATCCTTCGAATTTTCTACCCCACAAGTAATCGAGCATCCTCTACACCATTTTTCTCTTGAGTTCTCTATTTCTTTCTTTCTCACCCAAAATTTTGCTTGCTCACTCATAGAATCTACTCAACAACGAATACAAAAAGGAGGGAGACTTTGTGCATCTAATGTTTAACCCATTTGCATGACCCAGCTAGGAGCACATTTTTAGCAGATTTTACCTGATTATTTATGCCAGAAAAAAAAAAAAACATTCACGCTTGCTCCTATAAATTTCTAATGTTCTTGTGAACAAAAATTTTATTGCTCGATTTTTATTAAGCATGACAAGATGGACTTATTTCCCAGGGGTGAAGAAATGCATAGCCGAAATTTACCAAAAAATTTTATAAAAAAGAATATATATATCAATATGTGATCCTAAATGCAACATAACAAAAAAATGATGCCTCTGAAAGTGTGCAAGCCAAAAAAATATTAATTAAAAATTATAGCCATAATTCCAAAAAAAATACTCGTTGCCACACACAGCATGAAAATAAATGAACTTAAGAGAAAAAATGTGCAAAATTGTACATTGAAAAGCATGTAAATCGAAACTACTGATGTAATATAATCATTGCTCAATTTGACGCTTTTGACGAACAAAACACAAATATTCCTATCAACGTTCGTAGCAATCTATTTAAAATTTGAAATCTTATTAAAGCTCTTTAGAAATTGGCTCAGCAAGACCTAATTCATTGAAGAAAATGGGCCAGAGTGACCTATTACAGATGTGAAGAAGTTAATATGGTATATTAAATTCTGGCAAAGCAGAACCAATATTACAATTTTATTTGACCAACTATTTCAACCAAAATATTCATGGATAGTTTGTCTACTCTTTAACTCAATTGGAGAATCCACTTCGTTGATCAGCAAAAACTAAAACAAATCAACTGCCACATTTTCAGAGAATGCAAGAAGTAAAATTGTAGATAAAATAAAACTAAAGTTAAAACAACCAATTAACACTTCCATGTACAAATTATTTAGAAATTAAGAGATTGTTCTTTTTAACATAGAATTTTTAACTTGCAAGATAAAATAAAGAAGAGAAATAAAACACATGAAATATAAAAGTACACAAAAAACCTGAATATGGTCTGCTGATGTTGAAAGCATGCCATCTACAATGTGTTTATCACCATGATCATATTCATTAGGCTGGAAAAAGATGTAAGAAGCAGCACATCGGTACAAAAAGCATTTAAAAGTACGCGCAGCAAAGCCTCATTAAAAAAAATAATTAAAAAAAAAACTCAACCAAAGAATGTATATTCAGAAAGAAACATAGTGCTAATGTCTACAAAAGTAACAAATTATAAAAGCATGCTTCTCCATGACATTTTTAGGAGAATCAAACCAGCCAAACTGGCATTTTTTTTTCTTTATTTCATAGAAAGAACCATTACCTCATAATCTTCTTAGATTGTTCTCCAAAATATTACCTTCCAAGTTCTTTTACAAAATAATTTAGGATATCTTACTTTTAGGTTCAACAACTTTTTAGATTCACATTGGTCCCTACGACTTTAATAATATTTAAATAGACCCTTACATGATTTTACTTCTTACTGTTGTTGGAAAATATTTATACCCATTTGTTACAAAAGAAATCTAACATTTCTTTCATTTAGAAGATATGATTATTAGAAAAAAAAAATTAGGGTTAGAATTATCCAAAACTATCTTCTCTATTGCTCCAAGTCTGGAAAAAAATTATTATTGCTATATTTCAATTACATAGAAAAACACGTCCATAGTATTTAAGAAAAAAAAAAACATCAAAGTTTGCAGAATAATATGATAACCTAAATTAGAATAATAAGGTCTAGCATAATTAATTGATTAATAATAAAATAATAATAACTCGTAATTAATTATTTAATTAAGCTAATTAGGAACCAATAAGATTTAAATTAAGATAAATTTTATTCCTATTTAATTATAATTACCAAGATTAAGATAATTCTTTAGTAAATTAATTACCAAAGAATTACTCATGATGATAACAAATTAATAAAGAGTTTTATTAAATTATTAATATTTGCTTAGCATAAGGCTTACATGTCGTATTGCAAACATCGCCTATGAGTTTCCCCATTGCGCTAAAAAAATCTCACACAAGTTTTGTTTGTCGTGTCGGTTGTATTGCAATTGGGATTTTGGCGATTTTTTAGATTTACAAGTTCATAACTTTATATGAGGCAACAAGGAAATTACAAGGGCAAAAACACTAGAACTTCTTTGAAATTTGTCCTCCTATATACATAAGTACATTCTCTTTTTTTTCTTTTTCTATTTGCCTTTCCTTTTCTATTTTCTCTTTATCCCTTATATATATATATATATATAGAGAGAGAGAGAGAGAGAGAGAGAAGAGAGAGAAGAGAGAGAAAGGGAAAAGAAAAAAAGAGAGTAGAGAGGATTCTTTCCATTAAAGATAGATAGAGAGAAAAGAAGAAAGAGTGGGGAGAAGAATGAGGGCAGATTGTGTTTGGCTCATTGGTGGTAGGGTGCGTCGGGCAAACTAAAAGAGTGCAGAACAAAGATGCTTGAGTCTTGCAGTGGGTTGAAAGGGAGAGGAAAGGCATGACGAAGAGCTTGCACGGGAGTAGAAGGGGAGCTTGGGGTTCGGCCTAGTAGGGGGTGCACAAATGGGAGTGGTTAGCAAATCGGTGAGATGGTTGCTAGTATTGGGTGGTCGCGTGATTAAAAGAGAGAAGGGATGCGACAGCTTGCTAGAGAGAAAGAGGGAGGCGACAAAGTGGTCAACAAACTTGGAGCTGGAAGTAGGATTAGTTAGAGGTTGGAGCTAAGATTGAGATAGGTCATTGAGTTCCACATGTAACTAGCTAGGAGAGGAGGAAGGCGACAGAGGAGCTAGGATGTGTGGCCTCATGTAAAATCAAGCACAAACTGTTGGGGTTCAATGGACTAGAAGAGGGGGGAAGGGTCGGGTTGGATAGGTTGCACAAGGAAGAAAGGCTATGGGGATGAGGTCGTGTTTAGTGAAGAATGCATGCGTTTTGGATGGGGATGCAAACCAACGTCGAAGAAGCAAATGACATCGATTGAGGGGGCTCAAGTATGCAGTTTCGTGTGAAGGGAACCGGCTGGATCAGTTCAATCAAACTGGTCCCCTAACTAAAGAGGGTGAGCATGCGAAGTAGCAGAGTTAGCAAGAGTGCGGACGAGTAGCCGAATCAAGTGAACAAGAGAACCAACGCGATTGAAAGCGATTATACGCAACTCCTCGCATGAGATAAACAAAATTCCACTCCATCCAGTCGGGAACAGCGAGCAAGAGGAAGAACGAGATTAGGAGAGAGATTTTTTTGTGGAAGAGAAAAGAAGGTTTTTTGTTTTAGGAGAAGGTTGAAGGAGCAGAATAACAAGAGTACGTAATTTTTTATATGAGAATGAGCTTATGATTTTGATTAAACTTTATTAATTTCATTATACAATCGCATCTAATAGGAAAGAACAAGAATAAGAAAATGTAGTTCACGATTCAACAGGACGAAGGATAAATTGAGATACTTAACACCTGAGTGCTTCTTAGCCAACCACCAAGTTCACAAATAATGCCATCATTTGTGGTTCCCCAATGCATTTGGATAAACCATCTGCAATTTTATTTTCAACTCCTAGTCCGTACTAAATCTCAAAGTCATAGCCCAATAATTTGGAAAGCCATCTTTTATGCTTAGTAACCATTCTTTGTTCCAACAAGAGCTTCAAACTCCTATGGTCGATTCTAACAACGAATCGTCTTCCCAATAAATAAGGTAGTTATTTCTGAATGGCCAACATGATTTTCACCAGCTCCCTCTCATAGACTGACTTGAGTCTTACCCTGGACGTCAACACCTAACTGAAACAGGCCACTGGTCTCTGGTTTCGCATGACTAACGCTCCCAACCCAAAATCCGAGGCATCTATCTCCACTAGAAAGGGTTGGCTAAAATATGGAAGAGCTAATATAAACACACTGGTCATAGTCTTCTTCAACTCCTTAAAAGCCTAGGTGAATAACCCTCCCCACTTGAAGTTGTCCTTGAGCTATTCCGTCAACGACCTCATTATAGAATCGTATCCTTTCATAATTTTTTGATAGTAGCATGTAAGTCCCAAAAATCCTCTTATCTCCTTTAAAGTCTTGGGCATGGGCTATCTAAGCATGGCCTCAATCTTACTCTAGTCAGCTGTCACTCCCATCTAATATTCTTCTAATTGGCAAACAAAGAGTGCTTTCTTAAGGTGGATAGCACAACTCCCAAATGCTCCAAGTGCTCCCCCTCAGACCTGTTATATACAAGTATATCGCCAAAAAATACAAGAACAAACATTCACAGGTAGGGCTCGAATACCCTATTCATCAGGGATTGGTCAGTGCGTTAGTGAGGCCAAAAGGCATCAACAAGAACTCATAATGTCCCTCAAGCATCTAAAAAGCTATTTTGTGGGTTTTGTTTGGTCGCATTTTGATTTGGTGGTATCCGGATTTCAAGTCGATCTTTGAGAATATCACAAATCCATGCAACTCATCTAACAACTCATCAATGGCTGGTATGGGAAACATTTCTGGTACAATTAACTTGTTTAGGGAACGATAGTTTACACATAACCTCTAGGTTCCATCCATCTTTTTCACCAACAATATAGGACTAGAAAAAGGGCGAGCTTACACTGGGCTTGATAATTCCAGCTTCAAGCATCTCCCTAATCAATCACTCGATCTCATATTTATAGATCCAAGGGCAGCGATATAGTCAGACACTAATGGGAGAGACTCCTTCAGAACAATAGAGTGCTCGTGCTCCCGAGGGGGTGAAACTCCCTAGGGAAGCTAGAATGCCTCCCTAAATTGCTGAAGGAGTGGTTGGACCATATTTGAAATGTCCTCTACATCCTCCATCTTTCCTTCCTCGATACTCTAGAGCTCCACCAAGAATCCCCTTCCCCTTATAGGGCACAAACTAGGGTTTTCAAAGAAACCATGGCTTTGGATAAACTGGGGTCTTCCTTAAATACCACATTTCTCCCCTCCATCTGAATCTCCATAGATAAAGCCTTCCATTTTACCTTGGTTTCCCCCAAGATTTGTAGCCACTTCATTCCCATAATCAAATCAATACTCCCCAACTCCACAACAACAAGCCTTTATCCCACTATGTGGGATTGGCTACATGAATCCTTCTTCTCCAATGTGTCTTGTTAAGGGTCAAATCTCATATAAATCTAATAAAAGCAATGTTATTTTTAATATTTTCTAACCAAGTCTTTTTAGGTCTATTTCTACATATCTTAATATAAGTTAAATCTAATACATCTACTTTCCTAATCGGGTCATCAGAATGCCGCTGTTTTATGTGACCAAACCATTTAAGGCGACTCTCTCAAATCTTATCTTCCATTGGAGCTACTCCAACCTTTTTAGATATATGCTCATTTCGTATCCTATCTTTAAGAGTAAAGCAATCATCCACCTGAGCATGTGGGCTCCGAAAATTCGGCCCCAGTCTCCGCCCACACTGATGCTTTTGCTTTTACTTTTGGCGAGGGAGTTTTAACGAATTAAGTTCCGGGGTAAATTTTGGAAGGCATATGGGTTTGTAGATAAGACACTGCCCAGAGATTTTGCCCTCATTTTACGAGGACTTTATGATATGAGTTCTGGTTTCCTATAGGCGCAAGCCCCTATAGTTAATTACCCTCCCGATCACGAGAGAGAACTTTTGATTAAGGCTAGTCGTCAATCAGATACGTAGAATATACGTGTTATCTGACATACATGCATTAAGATTTGAGGTGTTTAGAGGTTTGGAAAGTTGGGAATTTGAATGATTGATATTTGGAAATTTGAAGGTTTTGATATTTAAAATATAAATTTCACCATCTTTCACTTAAAGCGGATGGTGGGGGAATGGATGATAGACCCGATCAAGATCCCATGGTTCCGTCGTCCCAGGCCATCGTGGTTCCTGGTCTACTTAGTCAGAGGAGATAGTCGACGCAACCTGATAGAAGGATCCTTGTCGGCAGCCATGGGTTGCTTCGTCGAAGGGGACCTTGTAGACCTGGGGTGAATGTTTGTCTAAGAGGACAAATTTGAATCCACCTTAGCTAATAGAGGGCTTTGTGCCCTATCGATCATATCC